TTTGCTGAATTTCTCAAAATATGTACCCCTGACTAAACATTCAAGTTTCCCTCAGTTTGTTTTTTCTTTATTTCAATACAAGAAAAACATAAAATTTGGCAAATTTGTCCTTGCTTGATGTTTGGAAATTCCAAGCTATGGATAAGAAATGAAATGAAATGGGGTTTAACGTCCTACTTTTCTGCTCCGACTGGGCTAATGAGGACAGACATGCACCATACAGTGTGCAATGAAATGAAATGAAATGAAATGAAATGGGGTTTAACATCCTACTTTTCTGCTCCTATACTGGGCTAATGAAGACGGGCATACGCCATATAGTGTGCTATGATGGAAATTTTTGTCCAGTGCTTGCCCCATGGGTGTTTTTCGGGTAGTCCAGTATTTTTCTAGTAAGATTGGGCGTCTATACTTTACATATATACCAAATTTGCCATACTTTGATTGAAAATAACCACCCGATAAATACCTTCGGGGCAATGTATCTTTAAACTCTGTTTCATTAGCCTAGTCGGATGTTTAACCCCATTTCGTTTTCATGCTACATTACATGTCTTCCCTCATAGCACCATGTCCTCATTATGCAGAGGGGAGGGGGTCACGATGGTTATGTGGGTAAGACGCTGGCTCGCTAGCCTGGAAGTCGGTGTTCGATCCCTGCATTAGCCGAGAAAGTTCATCCACATTTACCGGCGTGGTTCCCCCTTGTCAATGATGCAGGACGGAGGATCTGACAAGGACAGCGGTCTAGTCGTTCGGAAGCTACAGAAAACCGAGGTCCTGTGTACACAATGACATGTACGTAAAAGATCTCTTGACAGTTGGAATTCGACATAAGAGTAGGCCATGGTGGCGCTGTCCGGGCAAAATTTCCCTCATAGCACACTGTATGGCGTATGCCCGTCTTCATTAGCCCAGTTCAGAGCAGAACAGTAGGACGTTAAACCCCATTTCAATTCATTTTTATGGTTGGTGCCGAAAAGTAAGACATTAAACTCTCAATTCATTTTTATGCGACATCTGTACAAAGTCACATGTAATACAACATGTCTCCCAAGACCTGCATGCAATAACACCATGTATTATTCATGCGCATAAATTTCTCTAACAGAATCCTACTCAATTCACACTATTTTAGATCTAGCGTTTTTATTACATAATAAACCCGTATTGATTTTGAAACACAAATACGCTACGTTAGTTTTAATTCAATCTTCTCTCAAGTTTGACTTGAGCATAGATTTAGTGTAATGTCTTTCAAAATTTATTACCGATATTCCATTAAAATTTCATTGAAGTGTTTTAAGTTTTTGTTTTATGGAATAAAATAGATCTTGGGAGATCTGAAGATTGAAAATGTTGGCTTTTGATAAAAAATAAAAACCTCATATATAATGTCTGAATAGTTCCTTATTTTATCAGTTTTATGATGATAACGTTCATAGACTTTTTACAATGGAACTCCGGGCCAGAAGATTGAAATTTTTAGCTTTTGATAAAAAAATCTCTCATGTCTAAAAATTTTCTTATTTTATTAGTTTTTGATAGAATTTTTATAATGGATTGGAAAGGAATAGCAAACCTGGAAATAGAGCACCTGTTACAGACGTTGTCAGGAACAAATTTGGCTCAATTCCTCCGATTCCTGTCATTTTGTTCAACACAGATTCAGTCTGATTTTAAAAACACAGATCCTATTTCGTTTCATTTTTTATAGTTCTAATTTACGTTTTACTTGTCTTTACTACACTAGGATCTGGAAGCGTTCTGGTTGATGTGAGGGATTAGACAATGAAAGAGTCTGTTTTGGTCACTTGTTGAGTTCTGTGGTGTAAAGTGAAATATTAACGCTGATTGGTTCATCAATTGTGTGGTGTCGAGGACCCGCGATGCCACCTTCCACTACAACCGGTAGTAACTTCATGTAGTGGAAGCCATCAAAAGTATTAAAAAAAAAAAAAATATATATTTGTGTTTTAATCAGATTAACACAGGTATGTCTTGTATCTTTTTTTAAATGATATTTCATAATACATGCTTGGCATTTTATAGTTCAATATTTCGTTTTACTGGTCTTTACTACGCTTGGATCTGGAAGAGTTGTTATTTAACTCGTGTTCTGAATGGTGTCAGGGATAAGCCAATGAAACGGTCTGTTACGGCGAGCTTTAAGCGTGTTTTTCACGGAACTGTGGGTAATCCACTAGTAACATCAATGCTGATTGGTTAATCAAATGTCTGATGTCATAGGGTCATAAGTCGGTCTTCTGACCCCTGACTTGACCTATCACTACAACCGGTCAGATCTTCATGTAGTGTAGGCCATCGAAAGTATAAACAAGCCAACAGTGAGGCTGATGTCCCCCGCCGAAATTGCAAAATAAATAGATGACACATATTAATTAATCGCACATTTATTTTTTTCACTAAGTTTCATCACTCTCTATCAGATAGAATCAAGATTATCTTGTCCCAAACCATCGACAAATGAAATCGATTAGCTCTGCTTAGCTTCAGCTCGAAATGTTAATTATTGAACTCAGTCAAGACATTCACCTAATGAACATCTACATATACATCAAGTTTAAACATTCACCTAATAGACACCTATGCCAAGTTTGAACATTCTACCTCAATTAGAAGGAGAGTTATTGTGTTCCAAAGTTTCTACCATTCAAATTGCTTATCACTCTGCTTACCCTCAGCAAAAAATGTTCATTATCGAACTTAGTTAAGGTATTCATATAATAAATCTATACACCAAGTTTCATCAATCTCACTTAATTAGAACTAAAGTTATCGTGTCCCAAAGCATCAACCAATCAAATTGCTTATCTCTGCTTACCCTAAGCGGAAAATGCTCATCTTCGAACTCCATCAAGGCATTGACCTAATCAACACATACACCAAGTTTGAACATTCTAGCTCAATTAGGAAGAGAGTTATCGTGCCCCAAAGTATCAACCAATCAAATTGCTTATCTCTGCTTACCCTAAGCGGAAAATGCTCATCTTCGAACTCCATCAAGGCATTGACCTAATAAACACATACACCAAGTTTGAACATTCTAGCTCAATTAAAAGTTATCGTGTCCCAAAGCATCAACCAATCAAATTGCTTATCTCTGCTTACCCTAAGCGGAAAATGCTCATCTTCGAACTCCATCAAGGCATTGACCTAATCAACACATACACCAAGTTTGAACATTCTAGCCCAATTAGGAAGAGAGTTATCGTGTCCCAAAGCATCAACCAATCAAATTGCTTATCTCTGCTTACCCTAAGCGGAAAATGCTCATCTTCGAACTCCATCAAGGCATTGACCTAATAAACACATACACCAAGTTTGAACATTCTAGCTCAATTAGGAAGAGAGTTATTGTGTCCCAAAAAGTGTGACGGACAGACAGACGGACAGACAGACGGACGAACCCATTTTAATAGTCCCCTGCTTTCTTCGAAAGGCGGGGGACAAAAAATGAAACGAAATATAGATCTGTATTTGAATCAGATTGGGGTGTGAAACTCATTTTGATTCAGGGGTCACATGAACTAAAATTTTACATCAAAGGGCCGGAGATATACAAAAATATCAAGATACAGAAAATTTTATTGATTTAATTGACTCAAATCGTTATATATTATACACAACGTTCTCTTGTATTACATACAGAGAGAGAGAGAAATAGGGTTTAACATCCACTCAACACAAACTAGGTCATTTCGGGACTAACGTACATTGTATGGTTAATTTTTTATTTCAATAATTTGCTTGCGCATAGGGGTTTTTAGCAATGGGAGGAAACCGGAGGACCTGGAGAAAACCCATGAGGTTGGACAGACGACCCTACTCCTTGTCACATACAACAGGGGATTTGAAACCACACCAGCTGACTCAAAGACAGGCCTTATGATACAGTGCGCACGTGCTAACCATTCGGCCATCCAACCCCCCTTGTATTACATACAACTTATATATCTATGACATACAGCACAAAAGTCAGAGTTTTACTGAAACCGGAAAACTATAATAATCGATTCCACTGCTAGTTTCTAATAGTAAGTGCAGGAGGGCCGCACTACACGCACAAAAAAAAAGGACAGAAAATAGACATTGCACCAAATAAATAAAATATCAAATCACGTGAATGGATCCGGGGGCCAGCCGTAAGCGTCTATTCAACACGTCAGTTTGTTAAAATTTGTTCCACGGGCCACATTTAAACCCTTGGTGGGCCGGATATGGCCCACGGACCGCTTGTTTGACACCCCTGATTTAAAGTCTTAACAACACAATACTTCCTTTCATCATTTTAAGAATAACATATGGTAATTTTCAGGCGCCACCCCTGACAACCTGGCTTGGAAGTATTTTGAGAACAACTGATACCAGGTCTTGTAATGCGTATAAAATAATCCATGGAATATGTCCAAGAATGTCTACTAATGGTATTTATTTTCAATTTTTTGAATCTAACAATATAAACAACAGTGGAAATAAAGCACCTGCCAAAGACAATATTGGGCACAAATTAAAGGTCACTGGAAAGGGTTCAATTTTTTTTTTAATATAATGTCAATATTTCCTTTCTATAAGTATAACACGAACCCCAATGTCAATATTACCTGCAACAGGTCAATTTCAACATTATTAATTTCTGCCATTCTCTTTGGGTAGTCATAACATTCCATCAATAAACAATCTGTGACGTCATATTTAGAGTCTATATTTCTATGAGGAGAAGGACTAAACTTAAAAAAAATTTCTACAGCTTTTCCGGTGACCGTTAAGGCTTTGTCAGGTACAACCCCACTTGTCTGCTACCGATTTACCTTTATCATTTTTTTAACAATATTTTATAATACACATCTAGCACAAAATTCAAAATATCAGGTATGTACTAGTTCAGTAGTGCCCGATGTTTTGTCAGGTACCAGTACAACTAAAATCAAAAATCGTTATTTTCAGGAATGAACAAAAAAAAAAAATAAATTCCTTACCTGTAAGGAGAATGACAAGTCTAATTCTGTATCGAGTGATCCACCTGGAGGTACGATTATTTCATTCGATCGTAACACTCTCTTGGAATTCTAAAAATATACACAGAAAAACTATTGAATGAAGCTATATTTTAAAGTTACAATTTCATATTTTTAAGTTATATTTTTAACATGTATTAAAAAAAAGCACTAAAATAGATGGTATCTATAAACAGTCCATCCTTGTTAAAGAATAATCCTATTATTACTATAATTCACTATTGCCAGTTGAGAAATTGGCAAAAATATCATTTTCAACTTCAAATTCAAACGTTTGAAGATAGCTATTCCACGGTGGGGAATAAGAAAACAAGGGAGGTAATTGGAAGGTAATTGTATTATTATTTCCGGTGTGAAGATTCTTAAGTGTGAGAAAGATAAACTATGATCATATAATAGTGAGTTGACAACCTATTGAGCAAAAGACATAGAAATAATTATGTTTTGACTTTCTTAGAAAATATGAAATTGTAACTTTAACAAATACCATGGTATCTTTTTCAAAACACAAATTTCAATCAAAACATTCTTTATACATTTGTCTCGTTTTCATTAGCCCAGTCGGAGCAGAAAAGTAGGACGTTAAACCCCCATTTCATTTTATTTCATTTATACATTTGTCATTCTAGATATACATTGTATGAACAGAAACTTAGTATATGAGTTTTCTTAGGCCCGTTTTCCATTTACGCGTTTTCTCAGTGTTTTCGTGTGTGTTTTTATTTGCCGACGAAAAAGTCGGTCTTATGCAAATGTAATGGGACTATTTCCATATAACTGGCCAAAACATGCACAAAAACGTGTACATGAAAAACAGGCTATAGTATATATCTAGCACAGATATTTACAAATTTGCCTGTGTTTCACATTAGTCGTTTTCTGACAGACAAAATTACTTTATTTTTAAAACCATGCTAATTATTTCTATTGTTTGTATTTCTTATACAGGACATCCTCCAAACTGCTTAAATTTATTTTGGAATGTTTTAAATATTTCTGATAGAGGCCCCTTGTGTTTCCACTTAAAATTGCATCGTGGCTACTGTCTTACTTAGACTTGTTTTCCACGTCCATTTTCGTCTGTTGCATGGAAACAATCCCCTTATACATGTATTTGCGCCAGTGAAAACACGCAAATGAAAAACAGGCCTTATTGTGAATAAACAGATTAAAATAGTCCTTCATTTAATTAGGTGCACGTAAAGAACCTGATAATAAACTTACCTGCATTTTAACAGCTATGATGACCGAGGTGAGATCATTCTCTAAAGATTTATTCACAACCAATCGATTTAATGTTAAACTGCACAACCTGAAAAATATTCACAATCAATTGATTTTATGGAAATATATTCACATCCTGAAAAAATATTCACAACCAATAGATTTAATGCTAAACTGCACAATGTTTTTTTTTTTACATATTATAAATTGTAAGATTCCATTTAAACGAAGAGCTGTTGGTTCTTGAAATAATTTATTAAAGATAGATGTGTTGAAAATCTCAAACTCAAATTACTTTATATATTATATTTGTTCCCTCTTGTCAGTGATGCAGGACGGGGGGCGTGACAAGAACAGCTGTCTAGTCGTTCAGATGGGATGAAAAGCTGACGTCTCGTGTACACATTGGCGTGCACGTAAAAGATCCCTTGAGAGTTGGAATTCGATAGGCCTATGTATAGGAGTCGGCCGTATAGTGCCGCTGTCAGGGCAAAATTTCCCTCATAGCACACTATATGGAATGCCCGTTTTCATTAGCCCAGTTCGGAGCAGTAGGACGTTAAACCCCATTTTATTTCATTTCAGTATAGGTCTACCGTATGTTTGAATGTTTTGACAAGATTTATTTAGCCTAAAATTACAATGTTTTGAGAAGGATTTGAAGCAAAATTATGACAAATTAATTAGTTTGTATATGTGTTTAGTCCTATTATAATACCATAAATCACCCAGTTTGTACACAGGAATGTATCTTTAAATAGGCATAGGTACATGTACTATTGGATTGCTATGATAAAGTCTCGGATACCGTACGTCCAATTAAATGGCATGGGTGCTAAATATTTAAGAAAAGATTTTTATTGACTCATCTTAAACAGGTAAACACAATGTCAATATGCATTGCACATCGTCATAACATCACAACAATATTCATAAAATTTAGGTTACCGGTACAATAATTTACATACCTGTAATTAATTAAGAAATAGATAGATATGGTATATCAAGGTTGTGGACCCTCTAGAGACCACAGTTTTTATCCAATTTGGATGAAACTTTAAATATATGTTTTTATCATTAAGATCTTGGTTCCTTTTGATAATTATTAACATTAGTGTTACTTTGCTCTTATTTTTTGAAAAAATTTTCACAAGTTGATTTCCTTTATTTTGTTAATGTAGAATGGTAACGAACTGCTCTTTTCATTTTCTTTGTTTTATTTGTTTTGTTTGAATTTGATTTATCTGTTTAGTTTTTGATTGTTTAATTTTTGTTAATGAAGTTGATTCTTTTAAACTTCGTTTTTATTTTTGAACTCTACTTGGTGTAGGTGTTCATCAGGTAATACCTCGACTGAGTTCAATATTGAGATTAGCCGGTTGATTTGTTGGATATAAACCTTTGAATAATAGCGCCTAACAGGCAGCTGTGTTTAATTATGTTCTCCTGATTTTGATTGTTTCTGTGTGTTTGAAGTATATGTTTGTGATATGCGCTTAGAAACACTTCACGTGTAATGAAGCGCTATATAAATCGAACAATAATAATAATAATAATGTGAAAAAATATTCACAACGAATTTAGATTTACATGTAATGTTAAACTGCACAACCTGAAAAAATTATTTACAATCAATTTAGATTTAATGATACATATGTGAACTACACAAGCTGAGACATAAGTTTATTATGAAGAATTAAATATATCAGGCCTTACAATTAAAACATATGCTGACAATGCAGATATACCTCTCCACATATTTGAAGGCAAATATTGCAGCCAATATGCTTTTTACTGGCTGCAATGTTTGCATATGTACTTATGGTCATTGTTTAAGGCAAATGCAAGCCTGGAAACAAGGCACCTGCCACAGACAATGTCAGGCACCATTTAAACTTTACCAGGCACTAATTCTATATGTACGTAAACATGTTATTTTGGCTTTGTCAGGCACAATCCCTCTGGTGCCTTATGCCTGGTTTCTGACATTTTGTCTAGCACAGATTAGGTTTTTTTATATCACTGTTTCTATAAAGCAAAAAATGTTGGGTAGATGTACTAGTTCATTAGTGCCTAACTTTTTGTTACATGTACTGTAGGTATATTTATATAACACCTACACGTAGGCCTGAATGCACCTGTATTAGGCTGTATAATCCCCTGACTGTTCATAATTAAAGGACATTTAAAATTTAAATTAAATTAAAGATACATTATGTAAAATTCTGATAAAGAACTGATTGTTCTAAAATAGATAGTGAGAAATGAATATATTGAATATTTCAAACAAATCACTTTATCCTGAGCAAAGTTCTGACTGTTTGGAGATGTAGCAATGGTACATGTACCTAACAATCGAGACCTAGCCTCGATTATCCATTTTATAGTTAAATTATAAAATCTTGCTCGTGTTCTAGTCCCATGTAAATCATGATCATCGGGTGGTCTAGAAATGTCTAAATAATAATTTATAAGATTTGAAACCAGTAAAAAAAAGACCTGCATTAGGCAGATTATTAAGCTCTTACATAATGAATCTCGAAAAGATTGCATAAAAATTAAAGGAGTATTCGGTACGGTACAATTCATAATATGTCTAGTTAACCATGTTTATGTTGTACAATTACATGTAATAATTGGCTGGATAATTACTAATTACAGAGAGAGAGAGAGAGAGAGAGAGAGAAAGAGAGAGATGGGGGTTTAAGGTGCACTCGACACAAACTAGGTCATTTCGGGACTAACACATGGTTTAATTTCATTTCAATAATTCACTTTTGCGTAGGGGTGTTTATCAGTGGGATGAAACCGGATGACCCAGATAAAACCCACGAGTTTGGACACGTGACCCTACTCCTTGTCACCTACAACCAGGGATTCGAAACTAGGCCAGGTTGACTCAATGACAGGCCTTATGATACAGCGCGCATACTTGCTAACCATTCGGCCATCCAACACCACTAAGAACAGATAGAAGAGATATGTATAAATGGTAATAGTTATATTACACACATGAACTTGACACACTTCAAATATCACTTCCTGCAATCGTTTTAAAGTGGTCACATATTTATAAAAATTTAAAACTAAAAGTAAAATGTAAAACAACTATTTTAATGTGTACATATATATGGTACATGTATATAATTAATATGTACGATTAATTATTATTAATTAGTCCTACACAAAAATCCAGGTTTGTCAGCCAAAAATAGACAATCTTGTTTTGATTTTGTTAATTGTCATTAACCATCTACGTGTATATGTAACTAGGTTTTCACAATCACTATATCACTATTTGTGCTACGATTGAAATTGTGGTTTTAATTGTAGGGAAATCGTAGTGATCCTATCAGGTCTTACCATATATTAAGGCCAGTTGTGGCAATTGTGTTGATCGTATTGAAATGTATCCGAACGTATCTCCACGTACCAGATCATGGACTCAATAGAGACAATCCTATCAGAACGTATCGCACGACAGTGGGAAGCTAGCATAATACCCACCCCCACCCTCCTTTGTTTACAAAAATCATGATATTTCTAAATTGTGATATTTTTCAAAGGAAGTTTGATTTTGATAATGGTCTACAGCCATAATGACTATAGAAGCAAGCAATCTGATAACATTTCTGAAACTCAATTTGAATAATCTTTCTGACTTGTGAATAATTTGTTTGTTAAGAGAAAATGTTTATTTGTAATGCATGTGGCAGTAAGTCCACATGTTCTTTTGTTTATTTGTATGTGGAATATTCTGTGAATAACTGTAGTCTAAATGAATACCATATTTACATATATACCATTAACAGTGTAGGCTATATATGCATCATCAGAATGTCAAGGTATTATTTCTGGACATATATAACACGTTTCACATTTACATGTTTTAGTTGTACCAGTATTTACAATCATAATCTTTTAGAGAGAGAGAGAGAGAGAGAGAGAGTTTCACATCCACTTGACACAAACTAGGTTATTTTGGGCGTGGGGGTCTTTAGCAGTGGGAGGAAACCGGAGGATCCGAAGAAAGCCTGCTAGGTTGGACAGGCGACCACACTCCTTGTCACGTACAACCGAGGAATTGAAACCACGCCAGTTGAATCAATGACCGACCTTATGATAAAACGCACACATGCTAACCATTCGGTCATCCACCCCAACGGGGACCCACGTCGAAAAATCCCTTAACTCTTTTGGCTAACACAAGGATCAAGGTTAGCTAGATAAGGTCTTACTCACTGAGCCACCATGGCTCTGGTCTAATAATACAATATCTTATCACAGAGAGAGAGAGAGAAAGGGAAATGGGGTTTAACGTCCACTCGACACAAACTAGGTCATTTCACGACTAACATATGGTTCAATTTTATTTCCATAATTCGCTTGCGCGTAGGGGTCTTTAGTAGTGGGAGGAAACCGGAGGACCCGGAGAAAACCCACGAAGTTGAACAGGCGACACTACTCCTTGTCACGTACAACCAGGGATTCGAAACCATGCCAGTTGACTCAATGACAGACTTTATGATACAGCACGCACGTCTAACCATTCGGCCATCCAACCCCCCTATCTTATCACAGAACTATACTGAAGTCATCAATATTTTCACGGTGAATAATTAAGAATAAAAAGTTACGAGAAATTTATATTTATACCCTGTCGGTCTGAATGACATATTACTTTTATTTCATTTTATAATAACAGAAGTAGTCACCTGTTGCATCCATCAGTGTCGATATTTTCATACAAAGGCAGAAAAAGGGACCTATTATTATGGCCTTTCATAATGTGCTTTATTAATATTACGGTAGTCATTTTAAAAAGAGCGTATACATGTAGCTCTTTTTTTTTTAAACTTTAAAGGGACAATAACACTCTTGCTGGCTTGACAGCTCCAGAAAATAAAAAATAGCCTTATTCTAAGTACTAGATGTGTTAGTGTCCTACCTGTTGTGTAAATTATCCATTAAATCCTATTTTACTTGTCCAAAGGGTTCAAAAATATTTTAAATCCAAGTCACATTTGAAAAGCTTTACGTCAGGCTTTTCAAATCATTTAGTTGAATTTTTCCAATTTTTTAAATTAG